AATATTAACTATTACCCTGAAGTTAACAACCAGTATTCCATCACTTAGTAACTAGATCTTATCTATGATACTATCATAATTGCGTGGAACATTTAGTATCACCCTTTAACATCTATATTTAGTATCTTTTCAGCACTTCATTTGTAGAGCAGAGGAAGTACATACTGCAACATAAAACCTATCCCTCTCATTAGTCTTCTTCCACCATTTCTTTCGTGTCATAACACACTCTTCCTTAATTTGCATATGCCAAATTTGATGAGAATTTTGACTTTTAACAAAGCAGCAAGCTGCATTTATTTGAACATTTAACTAGCTAATTGATGTTTAATTTAGGGGTGAAATTCTTGTTTTCTTGAAATCAATGACAAATTCATACAGATTTCAACAGGCTTCAATAAGATTTCTAGATCTGCTGACAACTCAGCAATCTTCAACAAGATTTTCAAGGCCCTGAATTTGCAGTTTAGTACCATTGCTACTAGAATAAGAAAGGGAAAGAAAAAAAAAAGAGAACGTGAAGATTCTATTTTTCTTGTGCCAGTGTGTAACTACAGTGTTATTCAGTGGACTGCCTCCTGTATTTCATGTGTCATTTAATAGTACACATCATTTCTTTGTTTAAAAGAACATACAGGAATCCTTTTTTTTATGTTTATTGGGCCATGAAAAGTTAGGGTCTTGAAATCGATGGTACCAATGTGAACACAGACTATTTAACATTATTTTATTTAGTATACAGTATTTTTATTGTTACACAAAAGATGTACAGGAATGAAAAAATTTCCTGTAGATCTTGCCAAATCTTACTTTCTAATAATTTTGTTTAATGCTGTATATATAACTTATTATATTGTAAAGTATGAACATAAAATATGCTAATAAAAGAAAGAGGTCAAACACAGTTGTATTAGCCATTTCTTTGATTAAATCATATATTGCCTTATAAATCTGTAATTAAATGAGTTAGCCATGGGCTAGCAGGCACATTCCTGTGGTATGGGAGTGTCTAAGTAATATACATGAAGGAATCTTTGCATTGCCGTAGGATACTGCTTCTCTGCATCACACTTTGGAAACTTCTGAAGCAGCAACCATTCTTCGTCAGTATAGTTTTTGTTCAATATTTCACCTTGTAGGTACTATGAAAATGCCAAACTCCTAGCAATTCCTTGGAGAAACTGTAAGTTATTATATACGTACTGAGAGCTGGTACAGACTGTGAGACTGGTGAGCAATCTCACAGTAGCAATACTCTCTCATTAACATGTTTTCATTTTGTGTTCCTAAATTAGCAGTACTACACCACATTATCAGAGATCTTAACTGGAAGCTTTCACTGCATGACAGGATAATTATGTTCATCCAGTCTTAGGCTGCACTGCTGAGACTGCCAGCAGAACCGCTAGCTTCTACAAAAAACAGCACCAACTTGCATTTCCCTCAGACCCTGGTGACTAAGTTAAGATTTTCAGAGTATTATTTCACACAGATCAAACATTTTCTAAATGGAAAAACACACCGTCCTACTTTAAAAACAGGTTGGGATTTTGTTTATTCAGATTAATTTGTTGGTTTCAGCATGATGAATACATTCTTTTTCCACCAACCATTAAAGGAGATAAAGGCTCCAGCAACTGCAACAAAAACTTTGAGTTTGCCAGATGGTTGGGAGGAACTGATGTTCTGAGTTTCACTTTACTGTCTTTTTACTGCCTGCACTATATGTGCAGGAGTTAACATGGTGTGAAGTACGATCCCAACAGGCATTGCTGCATCTAAACACGTTGCTGTCTGAGAGGCTTGAGCATTCTCTGCTTTAATAGGCTTATGCACAGCCACCCAAAGGAGAAACTTTGGCTTCTTAGGTTTAACTTGACAAAGCACGAACTCAGATCTGCGTAAAATACCCATGTCCTTCCATTGTGCAAACTAATGAAACAAAACACAGAAACAAAAACCAAACCAATGGTGCTGAGGATCCCAGAGCTGGATGCAGAACTGCAGGTGGGGTCTCACCAGAGCAGAGCAGAGTAGAGGGGCAGAATCCCCTCCCTCGACCTTCTGGCCACGCTGCTTGCGATGCAGCCCAGGATGCAATTGGCTTTCTGGGTTGTGAGTGCACATTGCCAGCTCATGTCCAGCTTTTCATCCACCGGTACAACCAAGTCCTTCTCCGCCGGGCTGTATTGATACTGGAGGTTGCCCCGACCCATGTGCAGGACCTTGCACTTGGCCTTGCTGAACCTCATGAGGTTCACATGGGCCCACTTCTCGAGCTTGTCCAGGTCCCTCCAGATGGCATCCCCTCCCTCAGGTGTGTCAACCGCACCACTCAGCTTGATATCATCTGCAAACTTGCTGAGGGTGCACTTGATCCCACTATGTCATTGATGAAGATATTAAACAGTACTGGTCCCAATATGGACCCCTGAGGGACACCACTTGTCACTGATCTCCATCTGGACATTGAGCCATTGACCACTACCCTCTGGATGCAACCATCCAACCAATTCCTCATCCACCAAACAGTCCATCCAGCAAATCCATATCCCTCTAATTTAGGGAGAAGGATGTTGTGGGGGACTGTGTCAAAGGCCTTACAGAAGTCCGGACAGACACCATCCATAGCTCCTTCCTTGTCCACTGATGTAGTCACTCCATCATAGAAGGCCAGTAGGTTGGTCAGGCAGGACTTGCCCTTGGTGAAGCCACGCTGGCTGCCTCGAATCACCTCTCTGTCCTCCAAGTGCCTTAGCATAGTTTCTAGGAGGATCTGTTCCATGATCTTCCCAGGCACAGAGGTGAGGCTGACAGGTCAGTAGTTCCTGGGGTCCTCCTTTCTACCCTTTTTAAAAATGGGTGCAATGTTTCCCTTTTTCCAGTCACCAGGGACTTCACCTGACTGCCATGACTTTTCAAATATCATTGAGAGTGGCTTGGCAGCTACATTAGCCAACTCCCTCAGGACTTAACTTGTCAGGTCCCACAGACTTGTGTATGTTCAGGTTCCTCAGGTGGTCATGAACCTGATCTTCTCTTACAGTGGGAGGGATTTTGCTCCCCCAGTCCCCATCTTGCGGTCCATTCACTTGAGAGGTGTGGGAAAGAGAGGTTGCCAGTGAAGACTGAGGCAAAAAGTTGTTGAGTACCTCAGCCTTCTGCTCGTCCATTCTTACCGGTTTGCCAGTCATGTTCATCGGGGGAGTACGCTTTCTTTGACCTTCCTTTTCTGGCTGACATACCTGTAGAAGCCCTTCTTATTTTTTTTTTTTTGCATCTCTTGCCAAGTTCAGCTCCAGCCGTGCCTTGGCCTTCCTGACCCCAAAATGTTTACTCACATTAAGCGTATGTACTCAGGTACAGTGATTTTTACTTGACTAACCCATGAAATGTCTTTACACAGCTACAGATCCACTTTGATCATCCCTGGAAGTTTGTTGTCTTATTCATCACAGCAAATGCCACACAGTCTAAGTGTGTCCTAGCGATAAAAGAAGATAAGAAAAAAAAAATCACAGTTACAGTACACTATTATATTCCTTTAAAAGGCTGCCTTTTCACAGCAGAGTGGAAAGGCTACTGTTGTACCTTGTCCTAATTGCCACAAACTGTCTCAGGCTTTTCCTCTGGGCAGAGGAAAAAATTGTGCCTTCCTTCAGAGCAAATAGGCATGCCAGCAGCAAGAGGGGCTTCAAGAAGGCAACGTGGGAAAGGCTGGGAGGCAAAGTGAGAGAGACTGCAGCGCAGCAGGGAATGGGAGACCACTGGTAAGGGCAGGGGCAGGCAGGTACAGGACAAGGCCTCAAATAGTTGTAATGTAAAGATGAATGTTTCTGGGAGTTAGATGGGAGACACAGAATTCGCTGCAAACAGAAAGTTAGTAGACTTGGACTTAAAATTAAGACCCAACCCATAAGGAAATGAGTGGGTCAGGGAGAAAATTATCGACAAGACCCGTTATTTCCTTTCTGATGTGCATTTTTCTTTTCTTTTTTTTTTTCTCTTAAGAGCTAATTGTTCCTCTTTATACTCTGGTAAAATACAGCTTTCAAGTTGAAAAAAGCCTTTAAGTCCTTGGAAATGCTTACTTAAAATAAAAAACTTAAGAGCTTCATACAAAGCTCTGGTCAACTCAAGGTTTTGTCCCAAGGACTTCTACAGCCCATGTCATGGACACTGTAAAAATAGCATTAGGGCTTTTTTCTTTTTTTTTTTGTACCAGCAGGCCCTGCTAGAGAAAGCACTTAACTCTGTGTCTACAGATAAACCTAGTCCCAACTCCATCACTAGCCTTTTGGGTGACTTTGTGGCAAGTTCCTCCAGGCAAGATTAATACTTACTACATTGCAAGACCTTTCCCACATAATCCCATCTTCTTAGCCTGACCAGAATCATCCCAGTTTTCTTTAGAGAAACTTGCCGGACTTTGCAGATTCTCTCTGATCTTAGGTTGCAGTCAGGAACTGCCCTCTACATAGTCTTTAATACCTGATGGTCCTGGTCTGATGACATTAATAAAAAGAAACAACAGAGGTAAGGTGGGCTGAAAAGGATGGGTCTCTGCTTTGCAGCATAAAGCAACAACAGCTGACTGCCTCCACTTTCTAGAATTTGGGATCATCAATCCATTATCCATGAACAAAAAGATAATGTGCGTAAATGCCCAGCGGTATGGGTTGGAGGATGAGCTGAAAAGGCATGCCAGTTCAATTTCTCCCTACTGAACTCAAAGCCTCATACAGTTTAGAAGTCCTGCTTTGTTATAAGGAGGGTGTATTTAAGAGAAAAAACCTTACTGCTGCAGGTGAAACTCATGACCCAGAGGTAAAACAATGACTCCTGTATGCAGAAGTCATTCTTCTGCAAGCAACCTCTATAGCCCTCTGTGATAATGAAAAGCAAAGAGAGCTCGTGCCCTTATTATGTATTGCATAGGCTTCCTAATGCATATTCCTGTAAATATATTCATATAAACAGGGTATGAATGCACTGCCTTGGTCTATATCTAGTTCTAGGCACATAATATTGCATATATATTCTATTTCCCTCACATCCAAATAAGCTCTTTTGATTATTTATTGTGATATGATTTATACTGCATAGCACCTGTTACCTCAGGCATTAATTTATCACTATCAGCCACTCTTCAAGGACAGAAAAATGTTGATTCCCTTTTGCCAGTGTTCTGTGAAACCAGACCATCTGAATACTTATGGAAGAATGATAAGAAGCCTTTACACACTCTGCTGCAGAAGACGTCAGTGATTAGCTGTTATACAGGTCGCACACAGGCATCTCATTTGTCTATCACCTTTAGAAAAAAAAAAAGATAATTCATTTTTTTATAGTTGAGGCTGCTTTAAAAACAAGTCTGTAATAGGATTCAAGTTAGTATTGCAAGGCAACTCAGGAATACACAATGATTTTCCAATTTAATCCACCACACAGAAGTAAAAGAAAAATCAGGAGGAAGTAACACTGAAGACAGATTAGTAGAAAGATAGCTGAGACAGGAAGAAAGCAGAGTTAGGCATCTGTTTCTGGAATTTGGCCTTGGTGTGCAAGGCTGCTGTTAAAAAAAAAAAAATCATAGTCACACTTGAATGTGGAAGAGGACAAAGCAGGAGTACATCAAACTGCTACACTGTGGGAAGGACTGTGGAACAGAGAAATTCTGTTTATTTGCATTTCTTACATAAATAGCTCTTGAATCCACATACCGGAATACTATTTCTTCTGAAGGACAAAACCAGTCTGGCAACACTAGTTATCACCGACCTTCTTCAAAGGCATACTGCTTTTCCAAAAAGCTGATGTGTGGGTGGAATATTATGCTCCTGTTTGAAACTCGACCACATGATACTTTTTTTTCCTGTAAACTGGATAGATTTTTATTTCTTTTCTCCATAACCAACTGCACCAAGGATGCCATTTTATGAAGCTGAGGATGACCTGAAATTAAACTTATTAATAGGAAAGTTATCCTATGCTGAGCTTTCATGGCTACTGTTGTTAGCAGTATCCTGGCCACTGAGTTTGCAGACCTAGCTTGTGTACATCTACCAGGGCAGTTACTTACCATTCAGTTGCACTGATTGGTGGTACATTCAGGGAAATATTCCTTGGGACCAGTCTAAATATCCTTGAGTAATGGGCACAGAGAGAATTGTTTTTGAAATTATATATATGGCTTCTCAGATCTCTTTTTCTCAGGTAATTCTCTGTGTGACTTCAGAGATCAGAATGCCTTGTGAGTTATGTCTTGTTAAATTTCGACTCAGGACCATTCACTTGAAAAAAGTAGCTACAAGCAGGTAAACAGTATGTGGTTTTGTTCAAAGTTATCTCTTCTAGTAGTGATCAGGTAGTCATAAATATACAGGACACTTGCTTTCAAAATTAGGTGAAAAACAAAAGTCTAATAAACAGGAACATTCCTAACCGTGGTCAGAAGACAGCATTAAAGGTCTTCATCAGCCCAAAATACATCTATTTTTGATGATGGATAGTGGTGGTTTTGACACAGCACACTACAAGAGTCAGTACAACACATAAAGATGCCTTTGCCCATCACAGCATTTCTCAGGGGGATGTCAAAGGCAGGATCACAACACTGCACAGCAATACTAATTTTTGTAAGTTTTAAAAACATGTGAGCATTAGATCATTAAGAGGCACACAAGGGGTCACTGCTTTGCCACTGCAGTTCCTCTAACCATTTGGAAAGTGGAAGATTACCAAATTGTTTCATAGATCAAATTTTCAGACTTTCTGGACTACATTTAAATATGTTATCCTGAAGATAAATGCTTTCTATCAGACCATCAGTCCCTGAAGCCATTAAAGTTTTAGGTGAAAAATTCAGTATATAATTAAAAGATCCAGTGTCATAGCTCTGAATTATGAGCTCTACTTACAGCTCCTTTTAAATCTGGTCTGGTAAGTTAAATCATATATTTTAAACATTGATGCTGATTGTGAATAGAAGTTCTTCAAAAATATGTTGCCTTCAGCGTACTTTCACCTTCCAGGTTAATTTATCTGCTACAAGAAATTTTTCCCCATAATATATTAAATTCATTTTAATAACATTAGAAAAGATGCAAGCCAGTCATGGTCAGGAGAACTGGAAGATAACTGTGAAAACCCACTTTAAGATACAGACCTTTTATCAGCTGGTGAAAGTCAGCAATATGAAGAAACAGAGCACAACTGTGCAGGCTGGGTAATGTTAGCCTACTTTATTTAGATCTGCCAAGCGTCTGCAAATACAACTGTTCCCTGTCCAGGGAATGATCTTTCTTACAGATTTGTGAAATCTAGACTTTGTAGATCAGGTCTGAAACATTGTCCTGCCCATTTATCAATAGGGAGCATTTGATAAACAGCAAGGGCGATTACAATTTGACAATAGATGGTTTTAAAAAAAAAAAAAAATTATTTCTCTTCAAGTTTCATAGCCTTTTCTGGGATGAAATGAGCAGTTGCAATATTCTTGTTGACTTTCCCCAATAAGGACTCTCACAGCTGTTCCAAAAACCAGCAACATAAAATTGTGGGTCAATTCTTTATGTTCCTTTAAAGTGACAGGTTGTGACTACCAGAAACTTCCTTTTAGCTGATAGCTTCTGGAGACCTACATGCAAGCAAGACATGGCAGACTACAGCTAGTTTGAAGCTACACGTTCTGACTGATCAGCTGGTTGCTCCCAGAAAGTGTGAAGAGCCCCCGACTTTCTTTTAAGTGCAAGTATTCATAAGGTCTCTCTTTTCTCCTCAAATTCTCTCTCAAAAAAGGTTGAAAATTAATATTCTCTTGCCTGCTGCCAAATCTGGCCAGAGGTGGCTGGCATATTCAAAACAGCATAACCCTTTTCAGGAATGCAGATAGACAGTGATCACATAAACCATGTTTCCTTAGGGAATCAGTAACTGTGGGAAATAGCTAAAGTTACAGCTAACTTTTTCAAATGTCTTGTTGTAAACAGTCTTTTGAAAGAAGGATAAAGTAGTAGAAATTCATACTTATATTACAGTACCCAAATGCTACAAAAGCAGAAAAACCCCAGGAAATTCTAGGTTTCATCTGAGAAGGAAAAACTATATAAAGAGATGCCCAAAGCACGGCCAACTTGACAGAAAACTATCCTTCCCAAACCAAACCAAATCCACAAAAGACAGCAGGGAATGCAACCAAGTTCCTCTGTTCCCCTTCCCCACAGAGACTGCCAAGGTCACTCAAGGGAACGGTAACAGGATGGGCGTGTTTGAACAAGGCCACAACACGGACTGGTGTGGACAACCGGGGTGGGCTGGCCCACAAGACTGATGTTCGAGACAGTGCAACAAGCAGGTGTGTACAAAATTTGATATACCAAATATTTAGAAGCAGAAATATAGAAATAACCGTGATTTTGGTACAATATTTACCCCAGTACCTACTTCTGCTTGCTAATAACAAAGGCAAGCTAGGTTATCTATGCTTCTAACGTAGACACCATTATTAGTTAGCTTAGTTACTCCAGATAATCAATTACAAATTGAAACAGAATAGATCTAAAATCTCCATTTCAGTTTATAATTTCCCATCATTTTAGATCCATTTTTGGTACACTGACATCTTACTTTCCTCAAAGTCTCTGATCCTGAAATCATATTGTTTTAAGACAATCTTTTCACTTGTACTTATAGTCCGCATGTCCCATAAAACCACACTCATTTAAAGATGCAATCCAATGCAAACTGAAAATCTGATGGCAAATAAAACCAATTCCAAATTCATCATTGTTCTACCTTTCTAGATAATTGAAGGCTTCATAAATACTTCTCCATTAAGAGGACTGATTAGTAATAAATTTGGGAAAAAACATGGCATGGTTTATATACTTTAAAGATCTTCACTGAAAAGTTTTATGACAATGTACTAGGGAACTACTATAAGTTGTCCATCAACAACTAGCTTCAAAAAAATTCACTTCTACCATCGCAAGTCTAGCCTCCATATGACTCTACTAGAGTGTATTTGTGACTTTCATTTTTCACCCAAGAATGATTACCAAGTCAAAAATCACATGCACATTTTGGAACTTTACTATAGCTTTTTTATTTATAGAAGTATCTATCCTTCGCAAGACACTTCATATTCATTTGCATAAATCACTTATTTCTTTATTTCTGATACGTCTTATGTTTACTGTAATATGAATGTGAAATCAAGAACTTGTATTTTTCTTTACAGCTCAGTTAAAATTTACTTAAGATCAAAATCATTAGTCTCATCCTTAGTTGATCATCAATTTAATTGCATAAATATTTAACAAATTAAAACCCCCTCTTTTTTTGCATTTTAACAGAAACATTCTAGATCATAAAAACTTGAAATTAACAGCGATTCATCTTTTCAGACTGTAAACACTACTGCATATAAAACACAAGGGACCAATAGGAAAAGCTATGCCATACTCTCTGCACCTCTTTTACCGCATTACCTTTGCCATTATTAGATGAACGCATTGTGTTAAATGGGTACCACAAGGAAGATTAGTAGATTAAGAAACAACAGTGATGAAGGCTGAAAGCCAAGAGCACAATCAACATTCCTGTGGATACAGGAAACCTAACAACTTTCCATAGCTTTTTTTCGTTATTAATTATCTAGTATTTTTAATGACTAAGCAGATGGAGAACCACATAAGGACTGGGAACACACTTCCTAAATAAGAGGATTTTGTCTCCAGCCAAGGGTATATGCAAAGCTTTTGCACTGCTGGTAAATCTGACAGAAAACCGAAACTACTGATGAAATACTTATTCCAAAACATAATCCATTGTCAGCAAAAGCTTTTAGCTATGATTAGTGTTATTTAAAAATTACCTAGAATTGGTTTCCTGCCCAAAGAGTACACACTGCTTGCTGTCTCTTCTGGACATACTTCTGGATATGCCAAACCTGGTGGACTCCTTTCATAGGAAAGCTTGTCAGAAGTGTAAGACAAATTGCTAGAAAAATATCTGCAGTTAGAATTCAACTTCAAAGACTTCTGGTAAAAAATACAAAGGGAAACCAAGAAAAAAAAAAAGTATGAAAATGAGAAGTAAATCTCTGAAGTTTTATACTGACTGCCAGCATTAGTCAAAGACTAACATACAGCAGATCTTTAAATTTTAACTGCAGTTTCAATTTTACAATTAAAGATTTTCAGTAATTACAGTACAAATCAGAAATCAGAAATGGAAGACTAAGTTGAATTTTTAAAAAGGATCCTATTTCCTATGTGTAGGAACTTCTGAACACTGAACTGTGGCAGACAAAAAAATGCATTCATCACTCTTAGAAATGTAGGTACTATGAAGATTGTATTGCAAATTAATACTAAATATAGCAGAAAGAATAAAATATAATAATTTTACATTAGGGATTACTATTGCCAGGCATTTTAAGAAATGGAGTTTTTCACATTTGCAGAGATATTACAACCCAAAGTTACAAAAGAAATTCATACAAAGCAGGATAAAATACTAAATGTTACATAAATACAGGAAAAGATCAAACAACACTAAGACATTCTGAAATCAAAACAACAACAAAATTTCTCATTCAACCCATCTAGTTATGTTAAATCAAAATCTGGTTTTAATCATTACAGCTGTAATTATCTCAAAAGATAATTTGGTAAGATACCCGTCTGATACTTATCAACCATAAAATAAATAAATGAATTTGTAAAACTCTCTGAAGAGTCAAAGGTAACTAAGGTTCATACCTGTAAGGAAAGGTTGGTATTTCTGATCTGCTTACTCAAGGCATCCAATTCCTTAGATTGCATGAGTCATTCAGAACAGCAGCATTATTTCCCTTCTTTTAAAAAGTATTGAAAAAAGCCATTTAGCACATTACGCAATTTTTCATTTTCCTTTTTATGAATGAGGGAAATATCAATGAGATTCCACATGATACAGAGTAATGTATAGAGTACTGAGGTCCTGCTTAATTTATTTATATAAAACAGTAAAAAAAAATAAAAATCAAAATTTCAAGTAACATACGCAGTTGGTATAAATGATACAGAACAATAATTAGATTGATAGATAGTGCTACTGACTTGTGCTTAGACTCGAGGTAAGAGAGGTACTCCTTGACAATCCCAAATTCAACAGAATTGAATTGAGGTTTATACAGAGGAAAGCATGATCTGGATTTGTAGTCCTATGCAGTTCTTGGATCATTTGGTGAAGAGTAAACAATTCAAACATCTTCTTATTGCTTCTGCAAAAGATTTTACATAAAATTGTCAATTTAAAATTGAGAGGTTTCATCTAAACACTAAAGATTCTACAGAAAATTATTTTTTAATGATGAAAAATGTGTATTATACTAGGAGTTTCATATAATTCTTCTACGTTGCATATAATGTCTCTAAGCAGAAGGTTATCAATGCATGGTGAGAAAAATCTTGGAAAAAATCACCAAAAATGATCATTTCACTTGAGTAAGTGGTATTTACATGCAGTATAATGAAAGCCCAAGGAAAGGCTTTAACAGGGTTTCACTCATGTGAAATAAGATTCCAGAAAGAATAAATAGAAAATTTTAAATAATTAGGATTTCTGAGTAAATTTTACTTCTAGTATATTTTCAATTTATGTTAGATTATTTTACAGGAAAACAATTTTTCCCCCTACAGTTCCAAAACCTCAGTTTTGTCAACAGCTTTAAGTCTAATGTAAAAAATGGCTCAGTTTAGATACCTGCTTTTATAAGTGAAACAATCCCATTAAGTAATGCACCAATGGAGCTCAGCAGCACATTACTACTGATATGATGAAGACCTTTGTTACAATAAACTAATAACCAGTAAGCAACGGGAACACATTTTATAAAGATTAACATTCCCAAAAGGGCTTAAATGGCTCAAGACTTTAAATTTTGTTTTTGAAGGAAACAAAAACTGGTGAAACTTGAATGCAAGTCACAGACGAGGCTAAATTTTCAAAGGAGATTACCACCAGGTACACGAATAGAACTGAAGGTTGAGGGAAAGAAAAGAAGGGTTCTCTTCTAAGCATTCTTATCATCTGCATACATAAGGAGTATTCCCTCTTTAGGCTAGGTTGTTGGGTTTTTTTAGTTTGTACTCTGTAAATTGAACTAGACTTATACTCGAATTGAGAGTCTTGTCTTACACATCTGTGACACAAACAGTTTCAAGTTAACTGCTAACAGAGAAAGTCCAGCATTGTCTATGGTGGAGCAAATAAACAGCAAAACAGATGAGTTTTTGAAAAAGGAGAAGGATAAAGGTCCCCATGTTTGCTGATCTAATACTAACTAACAGAATAATGGCAACAAAGGATTACTTTATTCTGGAGAGTTTTTGCAGTATAACACAGAGCTTCTCCAATATCTGAACATCTAGCTTAGAACTTCGAAGCAATATAGAACAAGCACGGAAGAAGGATTCGTTACTGCAGGCTTCCAGGAAAGGCTGTAAGGAACCTGTAAAAGAAAACAATTAAAAAACTGTATCACAGAACTCGGTGCAGGAAGAAGTAAAACAGCTATTGATACCTTTAGAGGGCTTTAAATGCCTCATGTTGTGCAACTACTAGAACAATGAAATAATTCAGTTTATGCTGAGCATGTGATGTGAAACTCAGGTAAAACTAGGAACTGAAAAAATGCAAGTTTCTAAGAGCTCTGACATTACCGAGCCTTGTATTAAAACAAGGCCTATTCCCTTCAGAACAAAGGAAAACAGGAAACAGAACGATTTTAAACTCAAATAAAAATTCTTATCTTGAACATGTTTATTCAATGCTCGTTTATCATGGTTCTTTCCTTTTGATCATGTGAGGGGAACATTAAGCTGTGCAAAAAGACTCACAAGGAAATATTTCAAGCTGCTGCAAATCACATGGACAGGAATGGTACATGTAGAAGCTAATGTGATACCTGACAGCCTTTCATAATCAAAATACTGTCACTGTACTCTTTCAAGACAGGCAACATAATAATTCAAAGGTAGAAGTAAGAGCTGGATAAGAACACTTAAATACCAACAAAACTCCCTTAAAATAGTGGATGAGTTTTTAAGTCCCATTATATAACATTTCCTTCTACCCTGTTCCCCAAAACCTAATCACTTCAGAATAAGGTTAAATCTTTTCCCTTGTTATCTCATTCTTGGTTCTAATATTACAGATTAATTTATAGCAAAAACATAAAGAAAATAAGTAACAATGATTTGCTTTTGTTAAAATAAATAGTCTTTCATATAGCATAGGGCATTTGCATTAGAAGAATACAGATGTGAGGGGAATGTTTTAACTTTACATAATGTTAAAAATACCTAATTTTTTATACTTAATAAGAAACGGCAATATGCAAATTACAGCATAAACCAATAAACAGACATTAAAAAAATTCTTTTCATATACGCTGAATACTGTAATTTATAAATAGGATGTCAAGATGCTTTTATCAGTACAAAGTGGACTGGATGTATCTTTTGGTCAAAATTTTCCCTTTCCTTGTCCAAGGACATACAACTTATTAAATATAACAAGTAGCCTTGGAGGGAATTCAAGGTTTTAATTTATTTCAGGAGGCTTACTGATACAAAATCAGAAGAAATGCTACAGAAAACTTTTTGGAATAGGGCTTAAAAAAAAAAATATCAACTTGGCAATTAAAATCAGCCTGAGAGCATAAACAACTAATTTTCTCAGAGCTGGGCATTTATGCTGAATATTCAACAAGGACCCAGTAATTTCTAGACCTTACTGTTAGGAAGAAGATCTTTTAAAACCTGTATTTTTTGCAAAACAATGGCATGTCATTTGGCTACACCAACAAACGACCCAGTGCCGCCCCCGCAACGCTGAGTACATCTTATCACGCATTGTACTATACAGTGAAGTCAGCAAGATTTGTGGGCCTTTGCTGGTTTACACCGTAGGTGAAGAGACCAAGAAACAGCAAATGCCTTTAGCACAGACCAGAGAAGCTATGGCTACATGTAATCTTTCCTCCCTTTTCAGTGGAGGTGCTTTTTGGCAGAACTGACTTAAAATGCTGGATTCAGCAGGCAGAATCCACAAAATACATAATGGAATGTGTGGATGGAAACTCTACAGATGCAGGATAATAGACTTTGGTAGCAAGGGGCCAACCTTACAGCAATAAAAAGCAAGATGACAACTGATGTACTATGAAGTTTGGAAGAGGCAGGCAGATGTTTTGTGGTTTGCACAGCTGAAGTGTCCTCTGTTCTTTACCCAAAGCAACACAAAACAATAATTATTCTGAGACATACATTATCAAGGCAATAAATGGTTATAAATTAATTTATTTTTCTGTTTACTTCTACTTCCATGGTTCTTGCATTCTTTCTACCATGTTCAATCCACCTATGGTTTTATGCATACTGTCTTTTCACTTTTAGTACTTTCCAGTTACAATTTGTCATCTAAAAGTTGTAACAGTAATAAATATAAAACCAGAATGAAAGTAAAGTAGAAATGTAAGCAGTAATCAGTAAAAAACATACTGAAAAAATGGTAAGTATATATTTTTTTAATTCCCTCTCAGTAAAGATACTATTTGTCATTTTTTTAAGCTTACAGTCTTCAACTAAGGATAGAATGCTATGACCGAAGTGGTATTAAGTACCACTGGCAGCTTCTAAGACAAGAAAAACATCATGGATACTGGAATAATGAACTACAACTGCATTTCTATAAACCTGCAGATACCACAATACATTAAAAGCAAATGAATTGAAGATTGGAAGTTACAGGAGCATTCCTAAAAGGAACAAAGGGCACAGCTTCCTTAAGATGAACAATAAGGTTCACGATGAAGAAATATATTTTATACATGAGCATAAATACTTCTATAAATAAAATAGATACATATAAAGAAAACATTTGCCAGATATGTTTGAATTGACCTGAAAACGCCTCTTTATCAAATATCACAAGGGACAAATAGAACGCTGATTTCACACACGCACAAAAAAGGGGGAGGGGGTGGGGAGAATGTATTCTCTAAGGAAAATTTAGCTTGGGAATGGGGGATTATTCTAATGTACAACTCAATAGGTAACAGAGCTGAACAAATTTGTCAGGAATCCAACAACAGAAGTCACTGCATTCTGCCCTTGGTGTGTACAAACACAGTCCCCAGGATATAGTTACTCAGGGCATATTACTTTTAATATTTAATATTTCTCTACTTTCGCTGCAGAAGGTATTATTTTTCAGAAATTGTGACATCAAAACCTCTGGGCTATCTGTCAATTACTGCAAGCAGAAAATCCTTTGATGGGTTCACCATATGTGCTAAATTTAGTGATACATGACTGACATACACTCAAGATTCAGTGTTCTTTATTGAGCCACTGCTCTCTATGACAGAACTTTGAAGTTATTAAGTACATACAGCAGTGTCTTAAACTTGGAAAAATAATTAACCCAGAATTCATTTCTAGTATGATGGTATCATGCCCTAGTGAGCCTTACTTGTTAAAATCCATGAGAAGAGGCGACAAAACTACAAACAGAAAGAGCAAATAAGCAAAGCCCAATGAACACAATCCTACCATCTTAGGAGTATTTCATATCAAAATATTTCTATCACTTAAGAGTGTTTGAAGTAAAAATTTCTATACAGATAGCAATAAGAGATAACCTTCTCTAAAGCAAGAAAAATCTAGGATTACAAATTATGTTATCATAACTTTATAGAAATTCTATAGAACTACAACTTTATAAAAATTATTCTACAATTTGTTCCTACAAATGACCGCCTATTCCCAAGGAACAGAAACAGTCCTATCGATCCGCGCTGCACCACAGATGAAGTCTGTTTTAATGACAAAAACTTGAAACAGTATCTCTTACTTACCAAAGATGTTTATCAGAAAGGTAAGAGAAAAGCGTAAATAAATGTGTGAGAACACTGACATTCAAGAAGTAAATTGAGAAGGTTTTTCTTCTGTCTATTGCCTGTTAAAACAACAAATGGCTTTAGAAACCTCTCATTTAACATGACTTCTGACTCAGCTGGACTCTGATTCAGGAGAGATCTGAAGGTAATAAGACTGCTGGGATGAAGAGGGCGGACCTACAATTTATTCCTATAAATATCCTTAAATAGCCATAAAATGCTTTACATTCCTTTTCTGCAGGGATTAACAAATACTATATTCAGCTGACCTGGACATTTCTTTGCTACCTTGCTCTTACTGATTCCTTAAAAATATTTCATTTAAAAAAAATCATATATATATATATACAAACACATAAATATGTACGCTGTAAGAATGTTTCGACTGTGAAGTTTACAAACCAACATAAAAGATAGGCATTACTTTTAAGACAGAAGGATTTTTACTATAAAACAGAAAAGCCAAAGTGGAAATAATTTCTAAAAGTTCGCAAAGTTCAATTATGTGAAAGTAAACTGATAAAGGCACACGTTTAAATGGACTTTCTGTACACTGCTTATATATTCACTTCAGAGGAGCTTTTGCAGAATATATTCTAAGTAATCAGAAAATGTACAAAACAAGCACATAATTTAAATGCATGTCTAGCTGATGAACTAAAAGAATATAAGCTTCACATTTTTAAATATTTTGGTGGTTTAGATCTGCACAGATTTTGTTTTTATTAACTATTTTAGAAAAACTAAATTGGAATCCATCCTGACAGGGCTTTGGCACAATTTAAAATAATCTGCAAAAGCCTCCACTGGTATCCTTAGAAATTGCAGCACGTTGTAGTTGCATTAGCTTAACTTGATTGGTAGACTGCAATGAACAATGAGCAATTTATCACTGTTGACAGAATTCATCTGAAATTTACCCTCAAAGTAATCAGTCACTCACAGCATAAAATCTCACCAGCTATAGTTATCCAGAAAATTCTGTTTTATACCTAAAGCTATGCCACCTCAGAAAATTAAGACTGTCAGGAATGCCAACTTCAAGTTCATGTTTTAACAAATTAAAGATTATAGTTTTGCCTCATTTGTAATTGCATGAGGATCTGCCAGGAGAATGAAGAACATGTGACAGCGATGCAAGTGAGTGGCGCAGCACTGTCTAGTAGTGTGGAAAAGTTAACTAACACAAAAGTTAACTATGCACCACAGCAGAAACACTTAAAAGAAAACAGTAATATCACTTAAACGTTGCTAATAACCAATTGTCTATAATACAGTCACCTGTAAGATTTGAACCATTTGCTGAATTTAACTTTTTCTCTTGTAATCAGGAGCCAGGACTGTTGAGCGCCAGTGGTTAAAGCACAGTGGAGGTAGGGTGAGGTTCCAGTCAGCATAAGGCACCACAAGTATAGATGCCCACATGGGTGACGCCGAGTTAAGAGAGCCCACGTGGCAATTTCAGCTGGTCACCCAATATGTGCTGGCCTCAGTATAATCTGAATTGCTCTTCAGTTTCCTAGGATGTGCAAGACATTCATGCAGAC